TAACCACAAACTGAAAATTCAGGATTTTTCTGTAATGTGAATTTTCTCTATCTCTCTGGGCCCAAATAATCAATGACAAAAACGCCACACAAGATTAAAATTAGGTAATTTGCCAAAAAAAAAAAAATGCTAAAAGTTTTTTTTTTCTTTTATTTAGATTTTCTAAAATTATTTTGTGTTTGCCGCTTAAATTCGTCACTGAATTTTGCGAGACGCAGCCGACAATTTAACAAGCATTTCACGCTTGCACACAGCTCCGGAATTTTATTGCAACTGAATTTTAGATTTGTCCATAAATATAATTTGATGACAAAGTAAAAACAAAATTCTGTCTTTGTGGATTTTCTTTTTTATTTTATTGTTTTATTTTTATTTATTTATTTTTTATTTTTTGCTTCGTGTATGTGTGTGTGTGTGTCCCGCTCAAAGAATCAATGAATAAATTATAATTTCGTCAATGTTTCTGCCGGTCCCCCAATTGTCTATTGGTAATGACAATGTTCCTTTATGCTTTACACCCTCCACTGAGCTCAACTTCATCTCCCTTCCCAAACACAGACCCGGGTATCCCCCTTACTGTAAATGTACTTGATACAAGAGACGTTGTCGACTGACAAGAGCGATTAGATCAGTCCTGGCGAATAATGTTATTTGGCTAAAGATTCAGTGTTCACCAATTTTGGATGAAGAGCCCATCTGAACGTACCATGAAAAATACAATCGCTAAAACGAAGTTGAAGACAGGCTATAAAATCCTTTCAAGTGTCGGTGAATTGAGATTGATTGAAAAATATTCCGTTCCCCGAAACAGGAACGAAAAAAAAACTTGATATCATTGAAAGTAATGATCGAATATGCAAAACACATTAAAAATAAAATGAAATAAAGCAAAAACAAGGAAAAATATCCATCCAGACCCCACTTCGCTAGCAAAGTACAATACACATATTTAAGATTTTTTAAAAAATTGAATCAACCATTGAAAACCTAAAATATAAAGCTAATAATAATGGCAATCAGTATTAATGGGGGTAATATTAATAATAATAATAATAACAGTAATAATAATAAAATATAGGAGAAAAGAGCAAGAAGAAATGAGGTAAGAAGAAGTATAAGCAGAGAAAGAAGAAGAGTAAGAAAAAGAAGAAGAGAAAATAAGAACTTTTTAAAAAGTAAATGAAGAATTAATGAAAAAAAAGTTGCAAAGAACCAAGAGGTAAAAAGAAAAGAATAAGAAAGATCAAAGAAAGAGGAAAGGAGAATAGAAGTAAAGAAGAATAAGAAGAGAAATATGCGTATCAAAGGAAGAGTAAAAAAAGATAAGAAGAAGAGAAACCAAGTATAAAAAAAGAAAGAAAAGAAGAGAAAAGAAAAGAAGAAGAATAAAAAACAAGAAGGGAAAAGAGAAGGGGCGACCAGAAAGGAAAATTGAAAGAAAAAAGAAGAGTAAAAAATAAAGAAGAGTAAGAAAGAAAGAAAGAAAGAGGAAAAAAAGGATAAAAGCAAGAAAAGAAGAAGAAGATTAAGAAAGAGAAGATACGGCAAGAAAGAGAAGAATGGTCAGTCAGAAGAAGAAGAGTAAGAAAGAAGAGTAAAAGATCATGTAGAAGAAGAGGAAAAGAGAAAAGAAGAAAGTAAGAAAGAGAAGAAGAGGAGAAAAGGAAGAAGAGGAGAAAGAGAAGTTGCAGAGAAAGAAAGAAGAAAAGAAAGAGATGAAGAGTAATGTGCTTGATTAAGAAGAGTAAGAAAGTTATGTAAAAGAGAAGAAGAAGAGTAAAAAAATCGCAGAAGAAGAAGCAAGTAAGAAAGAAGAAGAGCAAGAAAGAGAAGGTTAAAATTCTTTCTACCGTAAAGAGTTGCCAGAAGAAGAAGAGTAAGAAAGAGAAGAGTAAAAGAGAAGAAGAAGAAGATTAAAGACAGTCAGAAGAAGAGGAGAAAGTTCACGAAGAGGAGAATCGGAAGAAGAGGAGAAAGAGAAGAAGAGTAAGAAAGAGAAGTGGAGCCATTTCTTTCTGCCGAGTAAGAAAGCCATCAAGAGAAGAAAGAGAAGAGTAAAAGAGAAGAAGATTAAAAGAGAAGAAGTCAGTTATGGAGAGAGAAGATTGAGAAAGTGAAGAAGTATCTTTCGAGAACGACGAGCAAGAAAGAGAAGAAGAGGCGGTAGGAAGCCATTTCTTTCTGCCGTAGGAAAGAAAGCCATCAGGCTAAAGAGAAGAAGAAGAAGAGTAAAAGAGAAGAAGAAGAAGAGTAAGAAAGAGAAGAAGAGGAGTCAGTTATGTGCCATGCGTAGAAGAAGAAGGCGAATGTATCTTTCGATAAGAAAGAGAAGAGTAAAAGAGAAGAAGAAGAGTAAAAGAGAAGAAGAAGCAGCAAGCCAGTTGCCCAAGAAAAGAGAAGAAGAGTGAGAAAGAGGAGAGAGAGAAGATGTGGGGAAGAAAGAGAAGTCCCTTAAGAAAGGGTATTAACAAGTAAAGAGACAGTAGAAGAAAGAAGAAGAAGAACTAAGAAAGAGATTCCTAAAGAGAAGAAGAAGAAGATAAAGAGAAGAATTCCTAAGAAGAGGAAAAAGAGAAGAAGAGGAGCGAAAGGAAGAAAAGGAGAAAGATATCCGTAAGAGAAGAAGCATATTCAATAAAAGAAAACAAAAAGAAGCAAAAAAGAGAAGGCAAGAACCAAGAGTAAAAAGAAGAAGAAGAAGAGAAGAAAGAGAAGAAAAGGAGAAAGGACAAAGAAGAAGAGCAAGAAAGAGAAGAAGAGGAGAAAGAGAAGAAGAATCAATAGAAATAGAAGAAACAAAGAAAGAGAAGAAGAATTAAATGTATAGATGAAAGATATGAATGAAAGAATAGAAGAAATGAAGAAACTACGATATGTATATATATAAGAGGAGATATATATAGAAATATATATGAATAGTAAGAAAAAGAAGAAGAGGAGAAAGAGAACAGACAAAAAGAGAAGAAGATAAAGATAAAAAGAGAATGAATAATTATATAAGAAAGAGAAGAATTGGGAGAACAGACAGAGGATAAAAGAGAAGAAGAGTAAGAAACAGACCGCTAGTAAGAATTTAATGAAGAATTGGCAAGAAAGATTCCACAAAGAAGAAGAAAAGACAGTTAGATTTTTTCTTCAAGAGAAGAAGATCAAGAGTCGAGATGAATAAAAAAAGTGAAGAAGAATGGAAACGAAAGAGAATCTTAAACCGGAAGAAGACATTTCGTTAAAGAGAAGGAATTTATTTTTTAAGAAAGAGAAGAAGATTAAAGAGAAAAAAGAGGAGAAAGAGAAGAGGAGAAAGGGGAAGAAAATATCGTAAGAAAGAGAAGAAGAGTAAGAAAGAGATGAAGAGTAAGAAAGTGAAGAAGAAGAGTAAGAAAGAGAAGAGTAAAAGAGAAGAAGAAGAAGAGTAAAAGAGAAGAAGAAGAAGAGTAAGAAAGAGAAGAAAAAAAGAAAAGAAGGAGAAATAGCCAAGAAAAATAAGAATAAGAAGAAAAGTAAGCAAAAATAGAAAGAAAGAAAGGGAAAAAGAACAAACAAAAAAGAGAAGAAACAAAAAATAAAGTAAAAGAGAACAAGAAGAAGAGTAAAATGAAAGAAGAGTGAGAGAGGGAAAAGAAAAATAAATTAAAAGAGAAGAAGAGGAGAAAGAAGAATGAAGAAAAAAAAATAAAAGATGGGAAAGAGAAGAAAAGAAGAGAATAAATGAAGAGGAGAAAGAAGAAGAGGAGAAAAGAAGAAGAAAGAAAGAAGAAGAAGAATAAAAGAGAAGAAGACATAAGATGAAGAAAGAAAGAGAAGAAGAAGGAAAAAGAGAAGAGAATAAAAGAAAGAAGAAGGACATAAAAAAGAAGAAAGAAAAAAAGGAAGAAGAATAAAAGAAAGAGAACAGAAGAAGAAGAAAAAAGAAAGAAAGAAGAAGAATAAATGAAAAGTGGACATAAGAAGAAAAGAAAAGAAGAAAGAAGAGAAAGAGAAGAAGAGGACATAGAGAAGAAGAGTGAGAAAAGAAGAAGAATAAATGAGAAGAGGAGAAAGAGAAGAAAAGGAAAAAAAGAAGAAGAGAAAGAAAGAGAAGAAAAATAAATAAAAAGAGACATAAGAAGAAAGTGAAGAAGAAAATAAGAAAAGAGAGGACATAAGAGAAGAAGAAGAAAGAAAAGAGAAGAAGAAGAAGACATAAGAAAGAGGAAGAGAAGGAGAAAGTGGGGCAAAAGAAAAATAAAGAAGAAGACATAAGAAAAAGAAGAAGAACAAATGAAAAGATGAAGAAGAAGAAAAGAAGAAGAAGAGCAAGAAAGAGAAGAAAAATAAGAGAAGAAGAAGCCTAAGAAAAGAGAAAGAAAAAGAAAGAAAGAAGAAATAAGAGAAGAAGAGTGAGAAAATTAAAGAAGAGTAAGAAAGAGGAAGAAGAGTAAGAAAGAGATTTGAAAATGAAGAAAAAAAAGAAGAAGAAGAAAGAGAAACATAAAAAGAGAATTAGAAAAAGAATGAAAAGGATCGAAAGAAATACTGAATGAGTGAATGGAAGAAAACAAAGAGAGCAGTAAAAGAAAGAAAAAGCAGTCTAGAAATTAAATGTACAGATATGAAGAAGAGTAAAAAAGAGAAGAAGATATCTCAAGAAAGAAGAAAAGAGGGATTGAGTTAGAAGAAGAGGAAGAAATGAATAGATGAATGAGGCAAAAATAAAGATGAAAAGAAAGAAAGGAAGAAAGTGAGAAAGAGAAAAAGAATGAAACCAAAGAAGAGGAAGAAACTGAAGAAGAAGATCGGCATCGAACGACATTAGAAGAAGAGAAGAACAAGATTTAAAAAAGAAGAAAAAAAAAGAAGGAGGAGAAACTTTGGAAGAAAGTCTAATAGGAAGAAGAGCAGGAAAAGTGAAGAAGAAAAGCGTCCTTTTTCTTTTTTCTTTCTTGAGAAGAAGTTCCATAAGTTCCTTTTCTTTAAAAAGAGAAGAAGAGGAGAAAGTGCCAAGATGTTAAAAAAAAGAACTAAATAAGAGAGGAAAACAAAAATTTTGAAAGAAGAATAAGTAAGAAAAATATGAAAAGAAAAAAGAGAAAAAGAAAAAAAAAGAAGAAGAAGAGAAGAGAAAAAAAATAAGGAAGAAAAATAACAAGCAAGAAAACAAAAGCAAACTCATTAAAAAAAGAATGAAATGTTAGCGAAAGAATGAAGAAAAAAGTAGGAAAAAAAGAATAAAGAAAAAGAAAAGAAAAAGATAAAAGAAGAAGAAAAAGAAGAAAAAGAATAAGAAAAAATAATGAAATAAATAAATAAATAGGAAAATAAAAAAAAAAAAAAAAGAAGAAATTAAGAAAGAAAGAAAAGAAAAAAGAAGTTAATAAAAAAAATAAGAAAAAAAAAAGCTACGGAAAGAAGAAAAAAAAAAAAGAAGAAGAACAGAAGAAAAAAAAGAAAGAAAGAGAAGAAAAAAAGAAAAAAGTGAAGAAAAGAAAAAAAAAGAAAAAAGAGAAAAAAAAAAAAGAAGAAGAAAGAAAGAAAAGTTTTCTAAAAGAAGAAAAAAGAAAAAAAAAGAAGAAAGAAGAAAGAAAAAGAAGAAAGAAAAGAGGAAGAAGAAGAAACGAAAAAGGAAGTTGAAAAGAAAAAAAAAAGAAAAAAGAAAGAAAGAAAGAAAGAAAGAAAAAAGAAAAAAAAAGAAAAAGTCCGTGGAAAGAAATCTTAAAGGAAAAAAAAAAAGAATCTTCTAAAATCCACCAAGAACACAAAAATTGGAAGAAGAAAAGAAAGAAAAAAAAAAAAGAAAACAAGAAAATAAAAGAAAAAAAATAGAAAGAAAGCGAAATGATAAAAAAAAAAATGGCTGTAAGAAAGAGAAAGAAAAAAATAAGAAAAGGCAGAGAAAATTTTAATAAAAGAAAGATTACTTAGACATAAATTATGAAAAGAACAAAAAATATCAAAACGTCTTGAACCTCGAAAGATAAGATGTTTAAGAAAAAAATTTCTCCTATGTACAAACTTTTGTATCTCTCTTTTCTTAATGATTGATTTCTTCGATTTAAAAGAGATTGTAATTCCAAAAAAGATAAAAACCAGAGAAAGTTCAATGAAAAAGAAAAAAGAAGAAGAAAAAGGCCCTTGCCTTTAATAGTATGGCAACCTTGTTCTTTGGTAATCAGTGATTTTTCTGGTCGTGTCATCCTTTGGCGAAGAAAGAGAATTTCTCCTTAACCATATTGAAAATGTCTCAAAAGTTACTATTTTTTCAAAGAAAGAGATAAAACCAAATGAATTTGAACCCATGACAAAAGATTATTCTTAAGAAAGACCGTCAGAGAGAAAGGGTGAAGAAGAAGAAAATAAGAAAGAAGGATGACAAAAAAAAGAAGAGACCTTTTTCGATCTGAAGAGGAAGAGAAATAAATGTTTTTTTGAAAATAAGAAGAATGATTGAAAAGAAGAACCAGAGAAAAAGAGAAGAAGAAGATTTTATCGCATCAGAAAGATCTAAGTAAAAGAAGAAAATGCAGAAAGAGAAGAAGTTAGAAGAAATCAAGAATGTATGAAAGAAAACATTTGTCTAAAAGAGAAAAGATTTTTCTGCCATTATTTTAGAAAAAAAATAGGAAAAAGAAGAGAGTATGCTTAGAAAGAGGTGAAGAAGAAAAAAGAATATGGGTAAAAAAAGTCTTGAAAAGAAAAAAAGAAAAGAAAAAAGAAGAGAAAAAGGGAATTAAAATAAAAATTTGAAAAAAAAAGATTTTATTAAACAAATAATAAGAAGACAAAGAGAAGAAAAAAAAATGTTAAAAAAAAAAAATAAAAAAATTTTAAAAAGAAATATAATATGATATATATATATATATATATATAATCTATTTTTCTTTAAATAATATTGGTTTTTCAAATGTTGAAAATAAATTAAAATAAAAATTAAAACTTAATCCCAATGAAAGTTAATGAAAAATAAATAAACAATGTCGATTTATTAGCATTTTATATTGTCTTTATATGCAATAAACTATGAATGTACATGCAATGAAATGGAAAGACTTTCTATAATGATAGGGATAAAATGTCGTTGCCGACGTGGAATTTGAACAAATCTTCCAGTGAGCAAACACAAAAATTCCATTTCTTTATCGGACCATTGATTTGAAGGAAAGGGTATAACTAAATTAGCGTGCGTCTTTATCGCGATTTCTCTATCATCATCTATAATAAAAAAACTGAAACTCTCATTTACTATTGGGACATTTGTTATATTTTTATAGTATCACTAGTGCGATTTATTATTATATATATGCAAACAATAGTATCTAGATATTTTTATATCTATATATCTATATGTGATTATATTTGAACGTGATAAAAATTCGTTACAATGAATTGATATCAAAAATGGAACAAATCAATCTTTTCTGATATTTTCAAAACTTTGACAAAGCAAGAATAAGGCTAAAAATTACATACAATTGAATCAAGAAAACAATACCCAAAACCTCCATTGCATATTAAACAGTTAATGGTTATGGTGGTCTTTCAAAGGGGTTATTCATTTTTCATTCTTGTTTCAAGGGAAAACAATAACAGCAACTTTGTATTGGGCACAAATTTTTCGTTATGTATAAAAAACATAAGAACTTGTGAACAGGGATTATTTTTTGCTTTCACGACAACGATTTTCCAAATGCACGCTTCTCAATCAATTGTCCAAAAGCTGCATAGGCTAAATTATGAAATTTTGCCTCAACCTCCATATTCACTTGATATTTCTCCTACTGATTCTCATTTATTTAAGTATTTTGAGCTTTTCATGGGCAAGGAAACATTCTTCAACAAGGAAGAGGTAATCGAAGCATTTGAACTGTTTATCACATCAAAAGATGAGACATTTTTAAAGATAAGATAAAGAATTTAGAGGTACGTTGGACAATGCTCATTCATCAACATGGCTCCTATTTCATCTAAATAAATGAGTTATGTAACATTTCAGGAGCGTTTAATTCCTTTCCAATAAAGTGAGTCATTTCGTCCTAATATATATATATATATATATATATATATATATATATATTATCTTGTGTGTGTGTGTGTGTGTGTGTGTGTGTGTGTGTGTGTGTGTATAATACAGATATACATTTCTGTATATAAAAACAAAAAATGCCAAAAGTAACGTCTGGTGCAAAAAAAAAAAAACTAATTTTGGATTTCTCTGTTATGTAACTTATATGCTCTGTTATAATACATGCATTGTGCTCTTTTTTGAGATCAGATTTAATATTTTATATTATTAGGATTAACTTGGATTATATACCAACGGATTATTATCTGTACTATATTTCTCTCCCTATATATATTATATATATATACAAAATAATAAATAAAGACAAGATAATAAATAAAGAAATAAAGAAGTAATAAAAATTAATCCAAATAAATAAATAAATGAACAAATTAACAAATCGCTCCCGCTAAAATAACCGTTAGAACTAATAAAAATAAGCATAAATAAGCAAAAACAAGTAAAAATAATCAATACAAATGAATTAAAAACTGTCCACCCGCCAAAATAACAGAATAGACTACGGAAAGCAATCTGAACATTGGTCTAATAAATAACTTTAATTATCTTCCCAGGCCAAAACAAATTATTAAAGTAAGCGACCTAAGCAAATCCCCCCACAATTTTTACTACGTTAATAAGACATCAACAAATGAAAAGAATAAATAATAATACAAAATGAAAATGAAAAACTAGTGAAATAAATTAACCCAAATAAACAAACAAGCCACTCACGCAAATAACTGCCAGAATAGATTACCCATAATGCAAGACTGACCCACATCTATAACCAGAGGAAAAATCCAGCATTCCCGGCCTGACGATTGCGTCTAGCATGAAAGAGCCTGTTGCCTCTGAGTGTTGACTTCAAAGTTCACCTTTATATATATATATATATATATAAACACACACATATGAATATATACATATATATATATATATATACATATTTACACATATATATATATATATATATATATATATATATACACAAAAATATTTATATATATATATATATATTTGATTTTTCCAATCATTTTGGGTTTTTTTTGTGGGCACCCAGCATATGCCTTTTTCAAAAGTATTTTCTTAGTTCCAGGATCCAACCAGATACTTAGTCATAATTGTTCCAGTTTTTTTTAAAATATTAATGACCATTACATGTCCTCGAGGTTACAATTTTTTTGGGCCACAGTTATTTTGCTCTGATCAATGGACATGCTTGCCATTTTTGGGACAAAATAATTGGAACACTTGTTAAATTCAAAGAAAATTTATTTAATATGGAGTTGGTCCTCCTTTAGCCTCACAGACAGCTTTAATACGTCTAGGAATGGAATCATACAGCTTCCTGACTTCATCCAGAGGAATTTTCAGTCATTCTTCCATTAAAACCTTCTCCAGCTCTTTTACGACACGACGGTGGAGGATAGCGGCTCCTAACTTGTTGCTCCAAAATGCACCACAAATGTTCAATAATATTGATATCTTGAGATTGGGGAGGCCACTCCATGTGTTCTAGCTCACTTTCATGCTCTTCATACCAATTCTTAACCACTCGAGCGGTATGTATTGGAGCATTATCGTCTTGGAAGATGCAGTCACCATCAGGGAATAAAGTCTTGGCCATTGGATGAACATGATCTCCCAAAATGTTCAGGTAATCTTTGCTGTTGATTCTACCATGCAGGGCAACTATTGGACTGAGACATTTCCATGATATGGCGGCCCAAACTATCACTGATCCACCTCCATGCTTCACTGTTGGAAGAAGGCAGTCAGGGTTGTAAGCTTCTTTGGGCTGCCTCCACACATAAACTCGCCCTGAAGTTGGGAAAAGAGAAAAACTGGACTTGTTTGAGAATATGACTTGCTTCCATTGGTCTGCAGACCAGGCATTGTGATGATCTGCACCACTTCAACCTCTTTTGAATGTTGCGAGTGGAGAGAAGAGGTTTCCTCACAGCGGCTCTTCCATGATATGCAGCCTTATGGAGCTCACGGTGAACAGTTTTAGTAGAAACTGAACTATTCAGATGGTTATTCAACTCAGCAGTCACTTTGGCCGCATTTGTCCGATGATTTTTTTGCCACATTGCGTTTCAATGCACGTCAGTCCCTGTCAGTAAGTTTGCAAGTCCGGCCCGAATTGCTACGGTTGCTAGAGGTCTTGCCCTGTTTCTCGAATTGCATCAGTGTTCTTGATATGGTAGCTCTTGAAAAACCAAACAGTTCAGCAACCTTAGTGATCGAGGCTCCTGCCATGCGAGCTCCAACAATTTGCTTTTTTTTCGAACTCGGAGAGGTCACGCATTTAGCTTAAATTTTACTAAATTCTAAAAAAAATAAATAAGACAAAGACAGTAAATTAGATAAATAAACGTATTTACAATAGATATAACCTGCAATTACGAAGTTTTAGTTAAAGTTCTTAATATAATAGGTCTTTGAAATATAGGAGTGGATTTTAACTATAAAAAAACTGTTCCAATTATTTTGTCCAACTGCCCAACGTCTTATGCATGTAACGAGCATTTAACGCCATTTTGTATTTCTTCAAATTTATTTTAAATTATATGATATATTAAAAATTATATTAAAAATAATTTGCTGTATGAAAACTTTCTAAAACACCTAAAATTATTGAAAGTCGATTTGTTTTCGATCGAAACCAAATGATTTCAACTAGTTTAGTTATTTTAAAGAAAATTTGGGGTTTTCAAACTTACAAAAACACGAAAATATGGCGGATTAATAAATGAAAACCCATTACTTCCTCATATATATATATATATACCTACATATATATATTCGTCCTGGGTAAGATGTTAAACTAGATATAATAATAAACTACGTCCATGCAAGGCCTCTGAATTTTTCAGGAGCGTGGAACCACCTCTTAATAACTGGTTTCAGGTCCAACCTGACTTAAAACCTGTTAGGATCCCAACTATGAGCAAATAGTTAACTATTACCAGCAATACCTTTTGAGAAAAAAAATTACCGGCAATACAATTTTGAAGGAAAAATATTAGCAAATTTCTGACAAAACAAAGTATTACCAGCAATAAAAAAATTTTATATTGATGATATGTTATAAACAAAATAAACCAAACCAAACCAAACATAAAATAGAAATTTTGTCAGTATCCATAAAATACCATTTTAATGAATTAATATAAATATAATATAATATATATATATATATAACAGAAAATCAACATCAACACATTACAAAAATATACAGGAAAAAACTTTTTATAAACACAACAAATAGGAAAAACTAAGAGAAAAAAAAAAACAAAACTTAAATTCTCGAGGCCCTTTATATCAAAATCAACCAACCAGCCCTCAACAAAATTTATGACGAATGTAGCAACAACACAATAAACTGCATTTAGCAAGCATTTAACGCCATTTAAAAAAAATATTTTTAAAAAAT